TCCTCACAGCAGTTACAGTCGCTAAAAATTACAATAAAGAGATCATCAATCTTGACATTTGTCTTGCTTGCTTTTCATCATCGACACATCACTGTATATTTTTGTTTGTTTCATAATTTATCACAAAACTACTCACAGGAGCTTAAAGGTTCCTAATAGAGTGAGAATACATTTTATGTGTTAGGTTTATTTCCTTTCTGTTCTGAACTAAGACTCCAAAACACTTCAATCAACCCCAAATTTTCTTTTTCCCTAGCTGGAGGAGGGTAACTAGGGCTGGGCGGTATGGCCTCAAATCAATATCACGATATATTGAGCAGTTCACCTCGATAACGATAAATGGACGATAACTCCTCCACAAGCTGCTCACCCCCTCCCACATTAACTTTGTCTACTTCCAGCACATACGACTTTTGAACCGTCCTCCATCTCCTCACCTGTCTTTCCCTCTTTGTTACGGACTGGATGGGGTGGAGTCACGTCTCTGATGTAGGACAGCCTCTTAAAGGGACATAAGCCTACCTACACACATCCAAAACCAACTTTTATTCATTTGTTTTTTTGACACAAAATATATTGACATAGGCAAAATGATGTCGGTTATTGTCGTAAATTTTGGTATTGGTAAATTCTGGTTTATTGCCCAGCCCTACATCACTGCTTATTTTTGTTAGTTTCACAATCTGCCACAGAAGTCCTCACAGGAACTTAAAAGTTCCTAACAAAGCAAGAATTCATTTTAGGTGTTTATTTATTTAGGTGGTTTATTTTCCTTTCTGTTCTGATCTAAGACTCCAAAACACTTCAGTCAACCTAAGATTTTCTGTCCCTCTAATTCCTCTAACTGGAGGAGGGTACTGTATTGGGGGATCTCTGTCAATCATTCTTATAATTGAGTCTGTATCAAAACATATCAATCAATATTGAATTGTTAGAGTCTTTGGTCTTATCTTTGTGTTTTCATTAAAAGGTTTAACATTTGTTCTTGCACCATGATCACATCTACACATCTTTATAATAGCTCCTTTAGGACTTCTGGATGGTAGTTGAGGACAAGTGTACAAAGAAATAGTCATATTTCAGAAACAAAAGTAGTACCTGCTAAGAGAGGCAGTTCATAGTTGGTCAGTTAATATCCATCACCAATAGAAGGACAAATGTGTATATATAGTGGGTGTGTATATAACTAGCATTCACTTCTATATCAGTCCATTGCTGCTCCTTGGGGATAAAGATGAGTAGGTGCTGTTTATAACTTATTGTGCAGGAGTTGAAGGTGTAGAAGTCATTTAGTCAAGAGCCTGGCGTTTAGGTCATTACTTACTATCCGTAGCATGCGGAGCATGACAGTGTGACCACTCACCTGGCAGTGACATCACAGCAAAATTACATTCTCAGCTCCCCACTCAATCTCTTGATCTCGTCTCTTTCTAGCGCCCTATGTGTTTCTGTCGGATCAACAACACTCTTCACGCATTACTCACTCTTGTTGTTGTTCACAAAACTGGCATTTCTCAACCCATTTCTCCCTGAGCCACTCGAAAAATATGGCGTCCCTGTCCTGAGCCAACATGGATTTGAGCTCAAAAAAGGTTAATTGGCTGTGCCGTAGCTGATGTTTGACAAAAAAACAGCCGGTTTGAAGACAAATGCTAGAGGGGATTGTTTGGAGGATGAATAGGGGACATGTGAGTGAGGTTGTTCATCGTCTATGAGACTGTACAAAGAGAATATGCGTTAAAGGACCTTGACTGCTCAGCAGAGCACCAGCCGAATATAGAGAGGATAAGAGACAGGCCTCTGTAGCAATTTGTACTATTCATGCTACATTACACAAACAGCCGTTGAGCCAAAGCACTCTGAAGAACCCATTTTTATTCAATTGTACCCGCTTTACAGAAGAAGGCTCAAAAATTCTGCCATCAAAGCTTTATGTGTACTACTTCATTTTAAGATTAGATGCTTTTTCATGAAGAATTAATGCCGTGCAGTGTTGCTCGGGTCTTCGGAGCAACTTTTTGTGTTTGTCAATGAAACGTCAAACAGTGCTGCGAGAGCCTTGTGTTTCCAATTACTGTCTGTGTGGCTGCTCTCAGTATAGAATGGGAAATGTCTTGCGATGACAGAGTGAACCCATCAACACTGTGGCAGCAGAGCCAGCCAGCATTAATGAATCCTCAACGTGAGGCACAGAGCAATTATGTGTGATGTTACTATGGCGTTTGTTCTTTGCTTGTGAAGAACCATCCAATTATCAGTTGATCTGAGAGTTTCCAGGGGATCACGGCAATTGTCACTTGTAATTTTGTTGTCGCTCAAATGATGAGAAGTGTAACTTAGCAACAAAATGGACGGCCTTACAGGACTGTGGCACACCATGCTGGTTTTGTTGTCACTCACTAATTAGATCTGACAAGCATGTCAGCGTTTACCATTAGCGTTTTTTTATCTCCCTTTGCTTCTTTAGAAACTGAAAGTGACAAATCCACAGATGCTCTTTTCAGTTACTTAACAAACAAAAACAAATCAGAGGACAGGTCCTGAAGGTGGGAGGGAGTTTTAAACAGTCTTGTATGAAGAATGTTATCACTTTAACGAGTATCTGTATCACGGATTGTACGTTTTCTTAAAATTTTTAGCTATTTGAGGAAGTATTCTTTCAAAAAAGTCACAATATTGATTTTCAAGTCAGACTGAGTTTCAGCTTATTTGTGCATTGGATTTCTGGCGTACTTGACAAGCACAGTGATCCAGTAAACTCGTCTAATCGAGCTCAACTTGACTTGTCAATGTATTGAGTGTTTTGATTTGTTGAATGTTGACTTGTTAATGTGTAGCAAGTACAGATGTGTGGGGCCCTAACCTAGATGAAGGACCTATGCTGCGTTTTATCTACCTCAGAAGTTAAATTTCGGAGCTGGGAATGACGTTACACCTGATTTGACAGCGTTCCGGTAAACAAGTCGGAAAACCAAGATGGACGCCTACTGTTAGCCGTTGTTAACAATTGTCAGCTGTTGTTAGTTGTTGTTAGCTATACTAGTTGTAAACAACGCATAACACAGTATTTTCCTCTTCCAAACACCAAAGCACCGTGTTCACAGTTAGAAGTTGGGCAGTACAACATATACCACTTATCTAATTTCACAAAAACAAAACAGAAGTGCTAATAAATAATACATTATGAGAGCTTTCACTGTTATTCTTTACTGTTGATGCACTGCCCTGCCATCTTGGATTATGACGTTGTCGTCAAGTCCGGGCTGGTGAGGATTGTCCGACTTTGCAAGGCAGAAATCTGACTTCAGGGGCGTGTTTCAGATGAATTTCCGACTCAGAGCTCAGACATCTCGACTTCCAAGTACAACTGGAACGCACCACTAAATCCGGTGGGGCTAGTTCTGCTAATTTAAACAACACTCAACAAACCTTGTTACGCTGTGTTTGGCAGTGTTAAACAAACCATGTGTGGACTGTTTTCAGAGAGATTTTTCTTACTTTTGGACTAGTTTGCCACTCAGGATTTAATTTACCGAGAGACGACATCAGAGAGCAACCTGGGAGCAGGCTGCATGATTTATACAACTGAGATCTACTGAAATACAAATAGATATAAACCTATCAGACCACCTGTGGTGTTTAACACTTCCCAAGCAGAAGCTCTGCCACATGTTCAAATTTAACTGTAATCTGTTTGTTGTGAAGTATTTTTTTTTGGTGGTTTTTGCCTTTTATTGATTGTACAGGGTGACGTGGGGAGTTAGAGAGAGTGGGAGGGATGATGACATGCGGTACGTGGTCAGGGCTGGACTCGAACCCACGACCACTGAGGGGAACGTGGTCCCCATTCATGGGGTGCGCTAACACATTCAACTATCTGTGCACCCCTGTACTCTGTCTGTATTTTTGTTTTTTTAAAGAAACTTTTTTGACGAAGTTCTGTCAACTAGTCAACTAGTTTTCGACTGATTACAAATTTTTCAATGGCCGATGTCGATACAAATAATTAAAGGGCAGGACGGCCAATGGCTGATATATAAAGCAGATATTAAATTGTTCTTTCTTATCTTTTTTTTTTTTGTATTTCACAAATTACGACAATAAAATAACACTTACAAATAATTAATAGTGTTGTTGTACTTGGGTGAAAATGTTATTAAATAATACAGGCAAAAAAATAATTTTGCTCAGTAAAATATTGCCTTAAAGGAATTTTAAGAGTACGTCTACCCAACCTGTATTGTGAAAAAAGAAATAAAAGTACAAAGTAATAAAAAAGTCATGAATAAATGTCTTGTTTCATGCGAAATCAAATCTAATACACGTGCTTGTCTTGACCAGTAACATGTTTTATATTTTCTTCATTAGTTAGAATATTTTAAAGACACTACAGTGATTGCTTTGGGGTAACTTTGCTGTCAATCTGGTTTCATTTCAGCTTCTGCTGCTGGGTCAGGTTTAGAGAAACTTGTATCATGCAAATGAAGAAAGCTAAATATGTATTTTAGGGCTGCAAAACTGATTGTAGTTTCATTGAGGATATGAGCAGTCACAGTAAACACATCTCCAAAGTCTGGAATTGTTGCGAGAAATTGTTTGATGGACACGACTCATGCTTTGTTTTTTCTTTCAAGGCTGGTTTTCTTTTGTTTTTGATTGTAGTTTTATTCTGCCTTGTTGTTTCTTTTATGTTCTCCCGCTTTCATATTCCACTTTGATATTTGGGTTATAAAACTGGTTTCATTGTTTTCTTCTTGGCAGAACTTTGCACAATCCCCCCTTGGCTCCACTCCCTGTATATGCATGGTATCATTGACAGCTACCTCACTTTAAACTGACACTACTCTGAATATATCTGCCCATAGAATTCAGCTTTAGTGATACTTAAATGTGAACACACACCCTCATAAAACTGCTATCCCTTTAATATTACAGGAATAGGGTGAGAGATAAATTTCATCCTTCCAACTATAAAACGTTATTTGGGTTTCATAAAGAAATCAGCGGCGTGCGTCATTCAGCCCCAGCACCGGTGACTCCCCCGTCTCCGGATGATCCTGCACAGCAGCTTCTGGAAGTGAGTCAACCCTGCCGTGTTGTTGGCACAGCACCTGAACAGCTGCACATTCTGCACCGAAGGCACAGAAGAAGTAAATCCTCAACCTCCTCAAAGCTTATCCTTTTATATATTTAATTTTTTTTTGTCTTGAATGAACAAGCTCGTTTCATGTTGCCTCCTTTTTTACCTCCTGTTGACCGGCTTGGTTTTACTCACCGGAAGAATCTGCATGATTCATGAGCGCGATCACCAGAGCCAGCTTTATGGGTTTGCACTTATATGCACTCATGTTGGGAATCTGACACAAAATTACAAAAACAAGGCTGAACAAAGATGACCATTGAAACATTTGGCTTCTCATTTGATGTGTTTTTTAGTTCTGGATAATAAAACCGCTCTGATACAGTGGTTTGTTTATATGTAAAGGATCAGCAGTATAATGCTCTCTTCTCTGAAGCTGTCTTATGACGATGCTTCTCAGCCTCACTGTAACTCATCTTGAACTCCCTTAGAAGTCCCTGCCTTTGGCAAACGCACCACTAGGGGGCAATATCTCACCTGCAGTCCCTTTGCCTTTGTGCACTGGCTGCAGTGCTGGGCTCCAGTCCTTTTCACTGTCACCACATTCTGACGCCAGTGTTCCCAGAGCCTCCCTATGTGTGCTGAAGAATCGTAGGCATACACCCTGAGGCCAGGCTACATTTCAGACAGGAAGGAATTTGAACGCTTGGACTCAGAATCACCAGATCCACCCACACACGTAGGATTAAATTAGGGAGATGATATTTTTTGGGCACTAGCTGTCCTTATTCAGGCCTGGACCAGGATTCCTGCAGAGAATAACGGAGAAAATGCAGTTTCACTACTTCAAAACTCAAGATCTTCACTATATACACAGTGATTTGGAGCCAAATGATTCTACTGTCAGAAAAATTAGCTGCCATTTGAACTAAAAGAGCTCCAACTCAGCGTCATTGGTAACATATAGTATACTTTTTTTCAGAAACCTCTCTTACATATAAATCTCTTTAAAGGCTCCCTGTACGCCTGCCCTGCTCTTGAACCGTTTGCTTATTTTAACGCCCTGCATTTCTAAGTGGTCTGATGTAATAGCTGAATTACTTGTGCGCCGCCTTTTTCAGCCACCTTCTCCCGTCTCTTTCAAAAACATAAAGGCGCTGCTATTTAGATGCATTCAAGCAAGAGTGCTGTTCCAGCAAACAATGGTGCGCTTACATGTGAAAGCTACTATGCGGTGCCCTCTAAAGCTCATCACTGTGCTAGTCCAGGCTGATCCATGCATAATAAAAAAACAGACAGACGTGTGGGAGCGTGCTTGCCCTGTGCAAAAATACAGTACGTGCTGTCAAGCGTGTCGTTTTGACTGCAACTTAACTATGCATGCTGTCACCCTAAAGCGCCTCTGCTTATTCAACTGAGTGAAGGAATGTAAAGTGTGGTGGGCTTTCTACTGTGTGTCTGACATTCCCCATGCACAGGAATACAAGTGTTCTTAGGATATTCTTTTCCCCTTTTTGCTTGAAATACAACTTACAATGTTTAATGGGGCTTGGTAGGTTTGTGCTGTGGTAATTTGCTAAAGTGTATAGATTTTGCTCAATTTGCTACAACAGCAAGAGAGAGGGGGAATTTTTCAGGCCAAACCCCAGAGAAAGAAACTCTTTGAGTCACAAACTTATAACACCAGGTCAGAATCTTCAGACTGGACCTCTGTTTTTGAGCCCACATTAGAGATTTCAGTGTCATTTTATCATTACAGAAACACTGCTGAGGTTAGACTATTTCACTCTCAGGCTGCCACAGAAAAACTAATGCACGCTTTTATAACCCCTAGGCTTTACTATTGCAGTGCTCTCTTGTTTGGTCTACCTAAAAAGGTTTTTGGCCGCCTACGACTCGTTGAGAATGCAGCAGCCCGAGTACCCACAAGGACCAGACAGAGAGCACCTATAACTCTCATTTTAAAGTCATTGCTAGCTCTGTTTGTGGTTGCCAAGCCATTTAGACCAACAGTGAGATCTCATTATAAGCCGGTCAGTAAAGGTTGGCAGTTTTCAGTATGTTTGTTTTTCTCTAAATAGTGCTAATGTTAGTGTAAGTGCCTGCACAGGGAAGTTACAGAACAAAGGAGGACAAGTCAGGGAAATTCAAGATAATTACGAACAAATAGATAATTAAATAAAAAAGCATGAAGAGATAAATACATTTTGCTGTTGCACACATTCGCACTGGATTGTTCTGGTACAAAAACATTAAAGGTGGTCTTTTTCTTATTGTTGGATATAACACAGTAGTAGCCAGAGTTTTAATGCAGAACTCCTGTGTGAACCAGCAGGGAAGCCAGGATGAAGTTTTCTGCAGAGTCAAGCCTGCCACGAATTAAGCATTAGGGGCGGGAGAAAAAATCGATACAGCAAAGTATCGCAATATTTTGTCTGGTGATATAATTTTTCATTTACCAAGTATCGATTTTTCAAATTATTTGCTAATATGAAGTCAAACCTATGATAATGGAAAAATAAATTCAACTGGTTGTCTGCAGAGGTTGGCAGAGGTGACATCATAGAGCAGGAGAAAGTTAGTACAACAGATATATATATTGGTTTGCAAGATGTGCTACATGAAAATAAAATACAGCGTAAATACGACAAACATTAAGAAAAGACCAATGCTTAATTAGCTACACACTTGAAAAAATTGTATAAATCGCAATATATTGTATCAGGATACTCGCTGTATTGCAAAATGTTAAAAATCGCAATAATATCGTATCGTGGCCCAAGTATCGTGATTATATCGTATTGTGGGGTCACTAGTGATTCACACCCCTGTTAGCCACGCGTGTTTGTTGGGGGGAGCCCTGACGAGTCGATCACTGAGTCGATCAATTTTACACTAGAATATCCCTTTAATAAACTGTGTTAACTGAAGCTGAAGGACGTTTAATATTTAAGAATATGTTTTTTGTCGCTCCACCCTTTTCTAGTTATAATCTCGTATCATGATATTTTATAGGGATGATAATCTCAAAGTGAGACCTTTTTTGTAGTTTTTTACTGCATATTCAATTTTTTTCATTTTACTTTCATTTTTTTTTTTGTAAAACGGTATAAAATGTATCTGAACAGGTCTATAAGCCTGAACTGTTGAAGCTAGGGTTTGTCTGGACCAAGGGTGAAAGGACTGGAGATTCTTTAAGTTTTTCATATAGAAAAAGCAACTCTACATTATGTTACATTTGTCCCTGTCCTGCACTGAGAATGGACTCTGACTGAAAAAAGAAACTCTGATTTTTTCATACTGTAACACCTCTTGGAAAATATAACATGAATCTTGATCTGTCAGTTTCTTAAATCCTGGGTTGAGTTGAATAATACATAAAATAAAACGATAGACATCACTCTCTCAATTTTATGGGCAACCCTCCCCCCTAAGGATGAGTAAAGTTTCTATCTATCTATCTATCTTTACGTAATCACATTATGTAAAACAAAATTCTAACAAGGACTTCTTCAATTTGTGACCGAGATGTGAACTGAGACAGACATTTTGCAATTTAAAAATAAACTTTCTCTTTCCTGCTCTTTGGTGATCGAATTATGCAACAGTGCAACAGTTCCTCCTCCACCTCAAACCATCATTTAGCACTTTTGTTCTGACATTTCTTCTCAGCTATTGTCTAACATACTGTATTTAGTGACAGAAATCCGCCCAGATATCTGCACCGCCACCATTATAATAAAACCTAAATATGACAGAGACTAGGGGTGGTTTAATAGACTATTCAACAGTGAGGAATTATCAGTCAGACCTGTATTTTACCTGCAGGTAATTATGAGCTCTGCCTGCTGAATAGATATGGGGTTTCTAGAGGTGGAACAGCAGCCGACTGTCGGTCCATGCAGCGCTTTTCGAGCCAAATAAAAGAATCTTTAAAATCATTTGCTGTGGTAATGTGAGGGAGGGCCAGCACAGGGGAGAGGAGCTTGCTGTTGTCTGTTTCTGTTATCCCTCACTTTCCTCCACCATTTGCAGTGACTTGTGCATAATCTGTGCTGTGAGTTAGGTGTCAGTTTCGCTATGTAGCACAATGGGAGGTTGGGAATCAATAACCTGCCAGTGGGTGTGTGCTCGAGAAAGAGAGACAGGGACTTTGCATATATCCAACAGAGTGGAGAGAGTAATTTCCTTTCTTTGGAACAAAGCACTGATCCCTAGAATATAGCTCAGTGTTTAGGCAGAGAGCACAAAACATTTTACACTCCATAGCCTCTTTATTGAGGTCTCCTTATCAGCACCAAATAGGATCATTTTACCACCAAAACACTTTAAATTCTTCAAGTCATTGAGTCTTCAAAGTGCTGAAAATACTGCACAGAGATCTTAACCTCTTCTCTGACCCTGCTTTTTCGATGTTGACATCCAATATTAAGATGTCCCAGAGCTGCACTTATAGATTGAAATATGGGGACTTTACTCAAGTCACCATTTTGTGTGAGCAGGTATCATAGTTGACTAAAATACTTTTGTTTTTGGAAACTTCTGTCATGTTTTAATATTCAAATAGTTAAGTATTGTGCAACCCTAACTCCTTCAGAGTTGGGGCTCTGTGAAAAATTTCGATTGAAACTGAATTTTATGGTCTTCAAATCATTTTGGATTTACTTTGAAAAGATAACATATCAAATATTGACGCTGGAAAATGTTATTGCATTATGAAAAATAAATGCTATTTTGAATTTGATGCCAGCAACACATTTAAAACCGTAGGGACTGAGGCGTGTTTACCATTGTTTGGTTTGACTCTTCTTTCAACAAAGTTTGCCAGTTTCAGAGGATTTGAAAGTTGTTCCATTCTTGCCTGATATTTTACCAGATTTCAGCTCCTCAGCAGTTAGGAGCTTACTTGATGCACTGAAGGCCGGCTAGTTCAGCACCTGGACTCTTCTACTCTGGAGCCATGCTGTTGTCATACCTGAAAAATGTAGCTTGGCACCTTCTTGCTGCATTGTACAGCACCATCAGGGATGTTGCACTTCTCCTCTTTAGAGCAGAGCATGCTGTATACAGGATTTCCAAAATGAATGTCAAATTTTGATCCATCAAAAAGTAAAGGGAAAATTTTCCACTTTGCCTAGGTTTCTCTTAAAGACCCACTCTAATGAAAATCATGTTTTTCTTGTTGTCTACAAGTTCATACAGCACTTTTCTGATGCTACAGGACATATCGTGAGAAAAGTGCAGAACTGCATTCTTGAGTATTTCCTGATTCAAATCACTGTGGACCCAAATGGCAGGTTCTGTGAGACACAGTGAGATTTTCTATGTCACAACTCCAAGCTCCGCCCCAGGCCAGACTAGGAGAAGTAGAGCAGATGATTGCGGAACAAGCATGTGCGTTAGCAGATTGCAATGCTCATAAGAAAGCTTATTATAATATTAGCTTTCACCGTGTCCCTAAAGACATCAGTGTCTGAGAGCTGAATAGCCCCTTTGTTAACTGCCACTTCTACTACACTGGAAATATTAGGCTGCAAGCTAGCATGAAGGGCAGTGTGCAGAGCAGCGTTGTCTTCACCCACTACAACTCAGAGGTGAATTTCTCACAATCTACTGGAGCTCTGCAGAAGAAATCTTTTGAAAATGACACAGCTGACATGATTTTGGCTGAAAACTTTATAATCACATTTTAAAGACCACTGAGAACACTTTAAATTGTAAAAAGTACAATAGAAGTGGAACTTTAAATGGGCTCAACGAAGTTTCCGGCATGTTCATACTTTGAAAATTGAAAATTGTAGTTTTAATCAAAATGCAATAACTGTTGCATTAACCAGGGATCACTGGACATCAGCAAGTCATCTAGTTCATCCTCACTGGAAGTATTTGCTTTGCATCAATAATATGGGTATAAAAACAGTGATAAAGTGCAAAATGATGAAATTTCAAATAGTTTCAATCAAAATGCAATTTCTGTTGAATTAACCAGGGATCACTGGACATCAGCAAGTCATCAAAATCAACTTCACTTGTTAGAATTGCTTACCATTAATAATATGGACTCTGCCCTCACATTTAAATGCTGTTTTGTTATACCTGAGATCCTGCTCAGGTATTCAAAGGCAGCACTTGTTTGCAAAGCGTCATAATTTCAAATACATCTTTCATCAGTACCTGCAAATTGATCTGTTAGAGGTGATTCATACAGATCCCAGTTGAAGTAAGGGCTGTTGCATCATGAATAACGTGATACTCAAGTCAACATTCAGCAACTTAAAGCTCGAATCAGCTTTACTATCCACCATTTTCATTTCAAAAAGAATTGGTTAGCAAGATAACTTCATTTATGTCTTTTCTTTGTCTTAAACACTGATATTTAACTGTTATTGCAGGAACATTCACTACGGACGTCCCATTCCCTCTAAAAACAACTGCTCCACCAGAACAAGCCACTTTTCCCCCCTAATGTATGAGCACAGCTGAAAACGGCACTTACTCTACATATTTAGCACTTAGCTCTCCGTTGCGCCTTTCACTCCTTTTAACTCCCTCCTCCTGGTGCTGCTAAGCTCTTTGTTACAGAAAGATGAATTTACTGCTTCCTCTCCCCCACCTCCCTCCTTTCCTCCCTCCCTCACTCACTCTTGCATCTTTTATAATGATGTTCCGGCACTCTGCAGTACCTGTGTTTTTGCATGCCTTCCCAGATTTGGTTGAGAAACTTGGCTGCAGGCGGCTCTCCGTGTGCGTCGCTGACATCGGTGCAGTAGAGCGTGTTCTTGTGCAGTGGGACCTCAAACTTAAAAAAAAAATAAAAAAAAATAAAAAATTGACAGCCAGCTGTGGGGAGAAGAGCCTTTTTTAACGTGTGAAAAGCCAGCAATTTTGGTATTTTTGATAGCAGTCATGTTTAGTTTGTGCTTGTGTTCAGAGTCAGATTTTCTGACAAAGTAGCAGGGATGCTGATACTGAAGTTTTGTACGTCCACAGCCTCTCAGCAGCCTGTGAATATTTTACTACCAAGTCACAGATCAGCCTGTGTTCCCTCTGTTCTCTTTTTTTCTCCAAGTCTGCAAGTCTGCATGCTTAAGTACAGGGTCTTATCTTCCAGATCCTCACACTACTTCTTGGCTTAGACTTAGTGGCTCTATGGATTAATGTTATTAACTTCAGATGGGAAACACAGACTGGATGATGACACGATACGATACAAGATGATATGATATGATACGGGGCCCACGATGATGATAATACCATAATTCACCCAAACAGTTTTCTGATAATTCTAATGCTGCGTTCCAGTTGTACTTGAAAGTCGGGATTTCCGAGCTCAGAGTCAGAAATTTATCTGGAACGCCCCCCTGAAGTCATATTTCTGTCTCGGGATGTCGGACTATCCTCCCCAACCCTGACTTGACGACATCGTCATAATCCAAGATGGCAGCGCAGTGCATCACAGTAAAGTGTAACAGTGAAAGCTCTCGTAATGTGTTATTTATTAGCACCTCTGTTTTGTTTTTGTGAAATTAAAGAAGTGGTATATGTTGTACTGCCCAACGTCTAACTGTGAACACAGTGCTATGATGTTTGTAAGAGTAAAATACTGTGTTATGCGTTGTTTACAACTGGTATAGCTAACAACAGCTAACATCAGCTGACAACCACTAACAACAGCTAACAATGGCTAACGACAACTGACAGATGTTAACAATGGCTGACAACGGCTAACGAGAGCTGACAATTGTTCACAACAGCTAACAAAGGCTAACAACAGCTGACAACAGCTAACAATGGCTAACGACAACTGAAAGTTGTTAACAACGGCTAACAGTAGGTGTCCATCTTTGTTTTCCGACTTGTTTACTGGAACGCTGTCATCTCGGGTGTGACGTCATTCCCAGCTCTGACATCTGACTTCCGAGGTAACTGGAACGCAGCATAAAGTAAAAAAAAAAGTCATGCAGTGATGTATCACTATATTTGATTAACTGTAGAATAGTATAACATGACTCAGCATTAAACTAGATTTTTAATGTCTAATAGGGTGCACACATTGTTTTTGGTTGATATAGCACCATGGCATGGCAGGCATTTCTTTTCACTGGCCCCTGTATTCGCAAACATTTAACAGCGAAATACCAAAAGTCACACTACAAGCTATTTACACTCTTACAAATGCTCCCAAACATGTTTTGAGGTCAGTTACAGAAACATGTGCACCTAGAGTAGCTGCAATTTCAAGCCCTGATATTATGAGGCTGATGCTATATTTTCAGTCTTCAGTACCATTACCTTCCATCATGACTTTTAACCTTTTCTTTAACTGTACAGTCATCAGAATCAGTTCAAAGAGAGGCTTTTAAAGAGCTGGGTTCAATGCCTCCTCTGATGCTTAATCTGTGGTATGACTTGATCAAAGTACAGCATAGATGTTGTGTTTAGACCAGAGGGGACTGTGTTAAAAGGTCACAAAGAGGAATAATATACTCCCCTTAAGGTGAATAGTAACGACAGCATGGGAGAGGTTGAAGTTTAGCTCATCTTTTATCTAAAATGTTTACCTTATATTCCTCCATCACCATCTATTTGAATCTAAATCAATGAAATGGTTACAAAACACAGATCCCACCACTTCTAACCTCAAACATAGCATCATGGTAATACTTGAGTTTAATGGTATTTAAGCTCTCCACCCTGTGCTTGACATCAGGAATCAATTATAATATTTACAGAGATATTTGGACCAGGTGGGTTCCTGATTCAAACGCTCCTGTGCCCACCATGGTGAGACTCTACGTGGGAAGCCGGCATTGATCTCCTGCCGTTTGTTGATCTACTCGGAGCCTTGATGACTTGTTTGTTTGGAGATGCTCCTCTGCACATACAGAGCTGGTATTTGCATACCCGCTCCTCCTCTCGTGTATGCGGAGTCCACCTGGAGTCCTACTTTCCACTCTTCAGCTGTGATCAGCAAGATGTTAAAGCCCAACAGCACTTGATGCTGGTAAAGCTTTTACTGCATGTCCAGAGGGCGGCCATTACTGTCCGCCTCTTGGTTGTTTCGAAATTGTTGGAAATGGCACTTAACATCGCATTCAAGGTCACCTGAACCACAAGTCTTGCCACTTCTAGCGTTTATTTGAACAGTAACTGCACATTTTTATCTCTGAATTATTTGTACTTAGGCTTTAGTCACACAGGAATCTGGAGGAGCGAGCAGCAAGGTGTGCCAGATAAAGTGGTGTGTATGTGTGTATATACTTATAAAGTGTGAGTCTGCTTGTTGCACCCTCAGGGGTTGATGGCTGAGCTGCTTGGGAGGGGAAGCTGCAGTATTTACCACCTGCTATGAAACAAGCCTTCTGTGCAGCTGTGATAGTGTCATAGCATGTGAAATGAGAGTGATGCTTCCCCATATCGGCGCAGCCTGTTTTTAGAATAATATTTTTATGACATTCCTACTTTTATTAGATTGTGCACAAGTGGTGAGTGTGGAAGCACAGAGAGGAGACAGGGGGGAGGATGACAGGGAACAATTGTCATGTTTATTTCTGTTTGACAAGCTTTTGGCTCCCTGGATATTCCCCTTCCAGCAGGACAAGAAACTCACCTAATGTCCATGTTTCAATATCACTTTGTGTCAACGTAATCTGAACTATTTCTTGTTGGTGTCTTTGTCTCTTCGTATATTTCAAAAGCTAACGTGATCAGACACAGAAACCTGGTTGAAAATAAGTTGTCCTCTTGAATTATTTTAGTCTTTTTTCGATTCAAATTCTCCGTCTTCACTCTTGTTTATTGGCTGTTTAATGGCAAACCAGCACGCTGCACGATCACGCCAGCTGGGCTGCAGAATTGTGTGGATTTATCATAGAGGAACTAAACTCCTCTAACCAGACTCGATCAGTTTCTCTTTGACATCATTGCACATGCTCGGTTTTATTTATTCAATCTGTCACTCTCACACAGTCTTTATCTAAACCTTTTGTTGCTCTAAAAACTGCTGCCTCTGCAGAATGCACTGGATACACCTCATATGCTGACCCCCTGAGACGCCCAGATGTGCCATGGGTGTTCTCAACAATGAGATGAGTCAGTCAAAATGGGATTTAACTTCCTGTATTTTGCATAATGTGAACCGAGTTGTAAAACTAGCATCTCCTGGAGAGAGAAAATGTGTCTAACATGTTTAACTCCTTGCTTATCCCCTGATTTCACATGCAGGAGGATTACTCTTCCTCGAACATGAGTGTCCTGATCATATTTTGCATAGTTTGCTGTATTCTGGGCCTAATCCCTTGCCCTCCCTGTCTCTCTTGTAAGACCCTCCCTATGTTTAGTGAGGTCTTAGTGGTTGGTTTTAAACACTTTTTTGGGATTTGCAGGCCTCTTGCTGGAGTGCTGGGCTCAATGGATCATAGCTCTTTGACCATGCTAGCAGAGAACTTCCACCAGATCCATATTTGGTCCCTCTCTATTCCAACGTCCAACATATATGAGGAGAAGCCCATTATAGAGGTAGGAAACCGATGAGGCTGTATTTACCACCAGGGGCATACCTGGAGGCAAAGGCGAAATTGTTTCGCTTGTTTCTGACTATGACAGGAGATAATACGGGTTTCCCTGAATTTGTGAGGTCACTTACCGTCAGCTTACCATCAACTGTGTCACCTGGATAAGGTGACACTGATGGATGAGAGCAGGCTGGCCGACCCGCACCCTCGATGAATGGATGGATGGATGATTTGACAGGACTCCTTCATTTTATAATGCTTACAAAGCCAACAGTGGAACAAGTGCTAACATATTAGAGAAATCCAAGAAACACTCCCCTCGTTCTGATCGGACAGTAATGCTAACTCATAACATACATAATCCATACAACATGCTTTTTGACCTTACCTGATTTGGACTGTGTACTGCACATGTTAGCTTTTTGATGATGGCCTCTGTCCAGTCCTCTCCTTATCTTGTTTAACCAATGTTGTTTTCATCCCTGACCGTGTCGGCTGTTATATGGCAAAATGCCAGTTTTGAGACATTACTATTTGGTACCCAACAACATGAGACAACATTTTAAAAATGCTATGAAGCCTATTACCCTGTGGTGGGGCTTCAAATGTCGCTCTAGTTTTGTTTTGTTTTGGTTCCTGCTGACGTCATTATGATGTTGACCCCAAAAGGGTTGAATAGAAACCCTGGAGGAGTTTGATGCCTCTGATTAAATTGAATTTGAGTTATCGGCCTTCCCAGCCCCAAACAACGCCAACCCTGCTTTTGGCCTCACTGACGTCAGCAGCTGTGTTTGATGACGTCTGAGATTATTGAATCATTAGATTTTAGAGACTTTGGCATTCTGGTTTCTTCCAGCCCCCTTATAAAGAATCAGATGAAGAGGCAGGGTGAGTGGATTAGGTTCCAGCTGAACAGCGAGGACTGCAGCAAAATGCAGTAAAGCTGACAGAGAACAAGCTGTAAGTTTGGTGGTGAGTGTGATTCATTGGACTGTTGACCTTCCTTTAAGGGAGATGATGAACAGCCTGGTACCGGACCCCGGGCCTCAGGCCCTGCTCTCCTTCTCAGCTGTCTGCAGCTTCACCTTCAGCTCACATTCAATCACTCTGCCAGCCATCGGCTGATAAATATCCACCATATGGCTACCTTCCTCACCTCTTGCTCAGTCCTGCAAAACAAACAACAAAATGTCACAGCTACTGCAACAGTGCCATCTAGACCTCCCATAAGCACCATATCTCTTACAATTTGCTTCCCTTGATCATAATAGCTTACATCACTGCAGCTAATGGAGGAGGTGAGGGACAAATTGCTGCTCTTTTGCCCTCGCTGAAATGCGTTGGCTTGAAAATGCATTTTCAGTTGTATATTTTTCCTTCTTTTAAAAGCAGGCCTTTTGAAATAAAAGTTTCATCTAGCTGTCTCTGGTGTTTTCTATCAAGTATTATTTTATGTATGAGTTTTATATCATCACGCGCACAAAAAAGACCTTGTATTGCTCAGATAAACCCTCTCAGTCCAGTAACCAAGAGTCAAGCATGACTGTTTGCTGTGTTATCAGGGCATGCATGCAAGAACGCCTCAGGCCCTTACCTGTAAAAGAGGGAACTATTTCTTTGTCTTTTATGAAAGAGGTCTGAATTGGTCTGCCGAGGCTTCCTCCTAAAACCCGTCGAACGTGGCGTGGACTGCTGCTGGCCTGTCTGGGGAAACAAGGAGAGGCAGTTATTATAAGTCCTGATGTATTTCTGCCCAGCCTCAGGGATGTTGCCTGGGCAGCAGTCGGCTCGAGGGTGCTCTGCAAAATTCATCAGCACCCACCTCACGTTTAAAGTACAGACAGAATTATTCCAAAATGATAGATGAGCCTGCACAGTGAGAGGCTTTGACAAGACATTCACAGGGAATGGAGAAGCACTACGAAACACGAGGAGGATTTAAAGAATTTCAGATTACTTGTAGAATCTGTGACTTTTGATCCTGATTGCATTCTTAACAACCTCCCGGGATAAACAGCTCCAGTGGCTGCTCTCTGGTCAAAGTGTTCTGTTGCCTCTATAGTGAGACCACCCTGTGAACAATTAGGTTTGAAAGGTTTCCTTGGAAACACCAATTAATTATGATGCGCTGGTATGAATGAGCGCATTATTCGGCACTACTATGTAACATTTTAATGTTGCTATTTAAATGCAAATCTTGACTTAATGACCCCAATTGAATTGCAATGAATAGGTTCAATTTCAATGTTTTTATGCCTTTTGATGTGCATGAAAACATTGAAATTGTTCCAGCATTGCATCATGGTCACTCATTCCAGTGTGTTGACAGAAAGGGACAAAATTGGGTTTTTGTGTTTAATTGAAAACATGCCCACAGCCTGTTATTATTGATGCAAAATAGGCTCTAATACAAAACTCTGTGTATGAATCCTTTGAGGGAACTGCTTCTTTGTGAGGAAGTGTAAGGATAAGAATGGTAAAAAGGAAGTGGGCCCCACACAGTTATAATTATTAGGGGGGGAGCATGAAGGTAAAAGAAAATGACTCAGAGAAATTCATTATAATCTCCTCTCTACTTGCCGCCATGGTGGCCCCCTTCGCATGCCGCTGAGCAACATGCCTGAGCTGTAACCTTGGCCAATCCTGCAGTCCCTGCAGGGCTGGTGCCGGTCAGAGTGGGTTGTAATACGACTAATCAGACGCTTTAACTTTTATGTAAATTGCCCCGGCTTATGAATCTTTAAAGAGGTGATGTCAAAGACAAAAGGGGGAGGGGTGTGAGGGTAGGTGAGTGAACGGTGAACTGTCAGAGAAGTGAGCTCTAAATCTGATTACCAGTGTGATGCTTTCTCACACACACTAATGAAGTCGCCGAGTTCGTCTAATTAGCGATGATGATGTCACAGCTAGCCACAGATAACATCTCCAGTGCTTGTTTTAAACACAACAGTGATGTGAAAATAGGCCTCTTTAATCTCAGCCACGGCGTGGAGACGAGGATCAGTCGAATTTATGAAGAGTTGTTTGAGGCTAAAGATGTAGAAATATTTCACACTGCTGTGTTGTGTTAAATGACCCAGTTTAAAGGTAAAGGAAAAGAGTAATTGTTGTGCCTCCAGGTGCGATGAAGCAACATCCATATATAGACAGCGGCAGATTAACAGTGACATACAGATTAACAGTGTTGCTCAACTGAGCAAACCGTAATTACTGACCTGCATTCTGGGTAACCCAAGGCTCTTTTTGAAGCATCTCACACATGCATCACACACAAAGACACACACACGTGTGCACCGCCACGCTTAGACAGGGTACCATTGTTGCTGCAGTGAGAACAATTTCATGATTCAGGTCAACAAGAGGCCCCAGGCCCTATAGAGCAAAGTCTCCCCGTCTTTCACAACTTAATTTGTGAGGAATAATGGCTGAGATGTACAAGGAGGCCACAGTTCGTCGCAAGTTTGTGCTAAATATATTAGCCACGAGAAACTGGGCTCCCACTAAATAATTAGCATCAGTGGAGCCCGGCTTGGCAGGTATAACAAACTATCTGAGAATTTGCCTTGGTGGCACAGTTCTTCAGATAAATAGACTGCTTAAACAGTCACATAATGCGCGCAGCCAGGTATTATTCAGGTGCACTATAATAGGAGCTGACTAACAGTGCAACTGTGAATTTGCATACCTTTAAAAGCAAAGCATAAATTTTAAAGATCACCAGAGTTTATATCCAGTGTTAAGTTTTCATTTATCAGCTAAAAAGTTGTTTTGCAGGAATTTGTTGACTGGCATATTATGCAGGCACAAGCTCCAGCATTTCAGCTGTGAGGATTTTCTCTTCTTCAGTTTCTGTTTGTATCAAATTGAGTCTGATTGGTCAGTCTGATACTATAACAGTCTCATATTTCTGAATAATTGCTGAGGATGTCACTCCAATCACAGGCTCCTGAAGACTGACTGCAATCAGAATATCTCAAGAGAGAAGTTTGCTTCATTTGACGTCGGGTTTGTTTAATGTGGGGGGAGAAACAGAAAAGGAGCTGAAAAATAGCTGAGCACAGGAAGGTGAAGTTAGGGACACAGAAACTGTTGGAAGAAAATCTACAAATTTAAAGATGATGTATGAAGCCGATGCTCAATTAGACATATTACTAGATAGGAGGGTGTTTAAGGACTTTAAAATGGCAAAGAAAATGTAAGACTTTCACCTGCTGATTCATGCAGTCCTGCTCTCCTTTTATGACCCCACCTGCAGTGGAAGTGTTTGGTTTAAAGTAACAAATAAAGCTGCAAATTTTACAAAGACCTTAGAGCAGCTAAAACAGAGTACTACACTGTTTTTAAAGGCGGTAAAACAATCATTCTTAAGTTGAAAAAATTGATGCGAAAGGGCTGATTTTATTGCATAAGTATGATACAGATAAAAAAGAATGTGATATAATCAAAAGTAAGTGGATTGTCATAGCAGGTTGGAATTGTGACAGGGTGAGCAGTATTTAAAGTGAAGGGGTGAAAGGGTGAGACAAGACCCTCTCAGCTTTGTCTCGGAGTTAAAATCCAGCAAATACATCCCACTCCAAATACATCACCCCTTACATGATCACACATATTCATGCCTTTAATGTGCAATATAAGACTGAAAATACAACTTTCTAGTCCCATAAATAATAGCAATGAGTACCTCGCATGCATATCAGCCGATCCCTCCTGCACCCATGTAAGCTGAAAATTACTGACACATACGACTAATATCAGCAAAAACACTTTGTAGTTTTTAAGTGAAGTATTTCATGTCAGTGCTGAGTTGTAGCACAAAGAATTAATATTTAACTAAAACCACACTCCTTCTTGTTAATTCTTTTTCATCCACCCACCCTCACAAACGGTTGTTTTTGTCGAGTAGCAGCCTCATTGTGGAGACATTAATCAAACCCTGATCAGGAAGAAATGCCGAACTTTCAGTCCTTGACACTTTCTCGTGACCTCTGCGCATGTGTGACACTCTGCACAACAGTAAAGCCTTTGTAACAGAATAAAAACAGATCAAATCAAAGCTTTACATTCGTCTCACAACAGTCAATACACTTCATTTGTAATTGGGAAATTTGTTTGTGGTTTTACTCTACATGGTGCTGAAAGAGTAAATGGTAGATGTTCATAGAATTCATCCCTAAAGACTTTGGCCAATCTCAGTTTAGACTTCAAAGTGTTTTTTATTTATTTCTTTATTTTTTATTTTATTCTGTGATCACCCGGGTAAAATATAACCTATTTAGTAAACGGGACTCATTTAGAAACCAGTCATGCTGTGTCTACGATTAGTGAAGCAGTCTTGCAAAGCTATTTGATGGTCAGTGGTACAATTTGGACAAAAATAAGTACCTGCTGGGAAATCATTTAGCTCTCAGTAGAAATAGCCTCTTAAAAGACATCTTAATCTACTCTGGTATTATGTGAGGCGTTATTGTCGGTGTACAAGTCTACAGAACAATTTAACTGATGTGAATAAGGTCCAATAAATGTTCTCTTTCTCTTTCAATTATGTTCCTTGAAATTAAGAATCACTTTTTTAAGAGAATGAACTCCATTATGAGCTAATAATAAGAGCTGTAGTTAAAACAAGACTAGAATGAACAAGTAAATGACATCTTTGGTTCCCTTTGCATGCATAATGGCTACCTTGGACACTGTTGATAATACAGTCCCCTTAAGAATTAAAAGTGCAGCATTTAAGTTAGGGCTGGGCAATAGATTTACGACAATAACCGACATTAGTTTGCCCATGTCAATATATTTGGGTCTCAAAAAAAATTAATAAATAAAAGTTGGTTTTGGATGTGTGTAGGTAGGCTATGGTCTCATGTCCCTTTTAAGACACTGTCCTACGTCAAAGACATGACTCCACCCCATCCAGTCCGTAACAAAGAGGGAAAGACAGGTGAGGAGATGGAGGACCGTTCAGAAGTTGTAGCAGCTGGAGCGGTGGCTAAAGTAGACGAAGTTAATGTGGAAGGGGGTGAGCAGCTTGTGGAGTAGTTATCGTCCATTTATCGTTATCGAGGTGAACTGCTCAATATATCGTGATGTTGATTTTAGGCCATATCGCCCAGCCCTACTTTAAGTAGTTCAGTCTGGAAGATATTTCTTTTTCCACACAATGATTATTACCCAGAGGTTCCACTAACTTGTGGCGTCCCTCTTGGATCTATTTTGGGTCCGATCCTATTTTCTTTTTTTTCCATGTGCTGTCCAAGGAATCCTAAAAGAAAATGTCTGGTAGGGATGTCCCCATCCGATATTGATATCAGATATCAGTCCGATATCAGCAAAAAACGAAAAAGGGTTGTATTGGCCTGCACAATATCGGTATTGTATCGGAAGTCAGAAAGTTGTATCGGGACACCTCTAATGTCTCGTCCCATTGACTTGTAGATAATGGACCAATGAACTAATCTACTTTTATAAAGAGGTATATAAAGAGGGTTCACTGCAGCCCCTGCTTGATAAACATCCTCAACTTAAATGAAAACGAATCTCTAGTCAGAGTATTTTGTACAAAATTTGGATGTGGGCCCGCCAGTCTCTGATACTCACTCCCCTGTAAAGAGTCTTGTTCATTTTATTTATCTTCAAATAAGTCAAGCTGATTTTTTCTGGGGTTAACTCCGGCGTCTTTCAGAGAAGACTTACAGCTAAGGTGGAGTTCCTTCTTTTCTAAAGGTTAAGAGAGGCTTGCACATGCATTTCTAACATTTTGACTCGACTATTGTAATTCTTTGTATGCGGGTTTAGACTAGTTTCCATTCAGCACCTGCAGTCAGTTCAGAGTGCTGTTACTTTCCTCCTGTTTGGAAAGAAATAGAGGGACCACAAACTGTGTTGCTCTCTCTTCCCTGGTTTCCTGACCAGAGTCAAACTGTTGTTGGAAGCTTTTAAAGCCAAAAGCAAGATAGACACCACCTTCCCCTGGCTGAATGTTCCCATATTTATATTCTGTGCAGGATGCTGAGGTCAACCAATCGGCTACTACTGATCTAGCCTTTGCAGTAGCTGCTCCTAACCCTTACCGTTTCTGTATCCCTATCTCTTTTCTTTAGCTTTCCTATTGAGTCAAAAACATTATTAACCCAGCAGACTTATATAGCAATACAATGCAGAGAGAGGACAAGATGTTATTTACAGCAGTGTGGCCAACTGTGTATGATATGCCATATAAACAAATGTGACTTGATTTGACATGATATTCAAACATCGTTCATGTCTTTGCGGTCTTTAACCCAAAAAGGCTCATCTTGCCTCAGCTGGGAGATGTTTGCTTTACTTCAGAACCACTTTTGTGATATTATCCACAACCTCCACTCAACCCTGATAAAAGTTTATTGGGCTGCCTTCTGTGCTTCTTTTTGGGTTCTGTGTAAATACACCATTATAAAGGTCATAAGCTCATTAATCAAAACTGGAGCCAGCCTGCTAAGTTTACATTTTGACTGTTTTTCTTCTCTCTCTCTCGCTCTCTCTCTCTGTCTCTCTCTCTCTCTCTGACTTCATCTTGGGTTTTTGTAATTGGGGCATGATTGGATTAAGGGAGGAAATGCGAGGGACAGAGAGAAAGAGAGAGAGAGGCTGTTGCTCTATACTGAAAATAATCCACTTTTTAGACTCACTGTTTCTGCTGTGTCTCTGATCCTTGGAAAAATGTATTTAGTTTTAAAAGTGCCCGACTAATGACAAGAAGACACATTGAATACTAAACTGCTTTTTCTCTCTTTGACATGATGGGTGTAACTTTATTCTTAACCCACTTTGAGATAGTTATACTGTCAGTCAGGCGTTTTGTTTTTATTTCATTTCCATCCACATTACTACACAAAAAGGCTTCTGCCAAAGCTGTTTGGTGAAGTTGACACACCAAGACCTGTTTACCTGGTTAGTATAATTGGAACTACTTACAAATCTTTCTGCTGGTTTCTGTTCTGTAAGCATCAAACTACCAAACAAGAGGTTAATTAATTATTCGTAGTGCTTCTGCAGATTAGATGGGGTTAGTAAAAAACTCATTCCCAGACTCTTCTTTAGAACTGTGACCTTTCCCTTTTGGGTTTTTTTAAATACCAAAAAAAGCCCAAGTTAAACTTTTTATTCACGCCTTGTCAATGTTTTGACCCTGTTAACCTTATTGATCTGACACAGGACCTCTATTATTTGACTTGTGGAAAACCCAGCTGTGAAAGCCACTTTGTTAGAGCTGTTATTTTAGTGCCCCAAGCAACCAATATCATCAACCGTCCACATTTTTCTCGCTTCTGCTGCTCATTTTATCCAAAGGTTGTGCTTACAGGTTGTATAACACAGCTGAAATGAAAGTGCTGTTGATTAAAATAATAAAAATAAAAAAATGAGTAGTTGTGCAATAGTGGTGGTTTTCATTGTATCTCTAGTAGGAATAGTGGTGGTGATATTTGGAAGTGTTGTCAGCAGTTTACATTGAACTTTTTAAAACTGCTTGTAACTGTTCATGTTGTTTGGACCATTGTTCCATTTTTGCTGAGTTGTTTCCTTAAAGGGATATTCTGGTGTTAAATCAAGTTAGGGTCAAACAAACCATCACACAGTTAGACACCCCCTTGAGAGATGAATGTTACCAACTGCTTGCTTCTCTAGTTATACCAACTTAAGTAACGACTGCACGATGATTGTTTGTTGGGGGAGCCCTGACGAGTCGATCGCAGAGTGCAGCGGAGTTTCGCAGCTCAAGGAAGAACATTATGATAATTTCTTGCAATCCTGCAAATGCAATCAGACCGAGACGATAAGGCACAAAAACTACTGCGTCTGCAGTGCAAAATGATTATGATGATTATTACTTCATGGAAATGATCTGCTGCACTCGGTGATCGACTTGTCAGGGTGGCTAGTACTATGACTGGGACCCTATATGGACTGTTGATGAAGTTAGGTGCTGTTGTGAGCATTATTTGTGGCTATAGAGTGGTGCTTTGGTTGAGGTTTGCACGTGGAGATGTAGACTGCTGTGTATTGCCATCGTGCGGTCATTTCTAAAGTTGGTATAACTAGAGAAGCAAGCAGTCGGCAACATTCTTCTCTCGTGGGGTTGTCTAACTTTGTGTAACATTGTTTGACCCTGACTGAATTTTATGCCAGAATATCCCTTTAAGAATAAGAAGTGGTAATCTTAGGAGAACTGTCTATTTGTGTTGTTACTGAGTGAGAGCAGCAGGTCTGATCTGATGGAGGGCGAAGCAAAGACACGCAAACTCACCTGCATGCATTCATTCAAAGCAAGTCTGCTTGTTGCATGTGTATGAAGAGCTGTGGCTGCATTTATTACGTCCTCAGAAAAAATACTGTCTTATTTCCCTGTTTTCATTATCAGCACTAGCTCTAATAAATTCCCCTCTATGACACTTGACCACTGCGGCTAGTCTTTTCTTGCTCACGGCAGCTGAAGGTTCAAGAGCTCAGTCCAATAACAGAAGCATCTACAGATGCCGAGGTTGTTGTGAATACAGAAATTCAAGGGAGAGGAAAAGACAACCTATTCATTATATCTATGAGAGAGGCAGGAAAACAGATGTACAATCTTGTGAGGAAATATTGAGGTATTTTGTTCTGCTTATATTTTTGCACAGCTCTAGTCGTAGTGTGTTAGATCTGTGAGGTGGTGCAAAAACCAAGAAAACTACTGCAGCTACTGACTCTTTCAGTTAGTTATTCACAACTCTGCTTTCTTGAAAATGATGAGAGTTGAAATAATGACGTTTGATAGAATCAAAATAAAGTATCAGCCTTCACCATTCAGTGGATGATCCTGTATTTGAGTTGGTGTGATCAGCGGATCTATACATTCGCTTACGCAGCATCATTACAGCAGTTAGCAGCTCATCTCTCTCAGTACACTGAGTAACAATCGTTCCTGAAAAGACCCAAAACAAGATGAAAACCCACTGCTGAAAACTAGATGACACGCACTCTCTTCCCCAGCTTTCATGAAATTCTTGGGTTAGTGCGGTAGAGGGAGGCGGAAGCGAGAGAGAAGAGAGAAACAATCTGAAGATGAAGGTTTATCGGTGCGTTTCAAAGCCACGAGCTCTCCATGTTGGAGACGTTCTGACTGATCTCGTAGAACAAAGGCGGTATGAAAATAACCGCGCTTCTGGCATCAGGATTCAGCCGAACTTATTTTAAGAAATCAGCAGAACACAGAGGCCAGCGTAAAGTCTTCTGTGCGCCGCAATTACGCTCCATATCAAAAAAGAAATCTGAGGTCAGATGCTTTCCTACTGGCTGTTTGATTGTTTTCCTTATTGCATTATTGCACAGCCAGGATAACACTGACACTGACTGGTGAAATAGCCCCCTGTCAAAACCCATTCACTCACAGCAAATTAATTCCCGTCTCTTTCCTTTGCAGCTGAATGGAAGTTTGAAGCCAAAATGAGACGGTTTCCAATTTAGACTGCTCTTTTCAAGGAAAGGGAGGTCATTTGTGTGAAAATGAATAACCAAGCAGATTGTCTGATTTAACACACTCTTATGGGGATGCATATGGCTGACACTAACACAGCTATGTATGAGCTAACGTAATTGGAAGTAATGAGGAAAAGCCCCAGCATGTCTGCATGCACAATCATTGTGAGAGGGCGGACTAATCCAAGTGTTTGGGCTGAAAATATCTAAACAATATATACAGTAAATAACAGCCTTACTGTGACTAAATTACGGTTAAATAAGATCTGATTTATGTGGTGCCGGGGATGCAATTTTCTGTGCTGCTTCCCACAAAAGTAATTTTGAGTGTCCTCCGCGCCTGCCTGCAGCAAACAGGTTAGTTTAACATGCAAATGCAACCCTAATGGAAAAATACCTCACTCTGGCATGCACAAGTACAACATTTATCTAAATAAACTTTGGCATTCAAGTATTTTAAGCATATTAAGATATCTGAGTTAGTTTTTTTTCTAGTTCTTCTTATACCCAAGTTTCTCTGTCTGTTTCTTTTTTACTACAGGTTTTGTGTGTGTCCCCACATTTTCCCAGAATCCCCCTTGGCAGCCCCAGAGAACGATTTTTAGATATGCCTCCAATCCGTGAGTGAAGAGACAGCGAGCAGTGATAAGAAAGTAAGAGCGAGAGAGTTTTTACAGCACTTTTTCAAAGTGCATCGATACTTTAACTGGGTGGGAAAAAAAATTGTTGTGAGGAAACATGATCTACACAACAAATATGTTTCTTCTGACAAATATAAAAGCAAAACAAACTTGACAGGAGACAGTGTTTTTTTTTTTTTTTGTCGCTCGGATAATTGGATGTGACTGTCACTGGTTGTAACAAACATCTCTCAAAGAAGAAGCCCTTGAACCGCGGCATATGTAGCAGCAACTTTGTTCTCCACTTTAAATTATTCTGACTGAAGTATTGGATGTTGAAGTGGATTACTGCAAGTAGAAATGATGTGTATCATGGGCTTTTGTTTTTAACGCTATCATAAACAACTGGAGTCAAATGTTTCCCACATGTTGCATAGATAAACTACGAGTGTTGAACCTGTTGCAAACTGCTGAAGCTAATACACCTTTAAATGTTCCAAATACTCATATGTTCAGGAAGTTACAAGCCTCTTTGGTTATTGTTGCAATAGTAGTGTTTATTTTTTTAATGCTACAGTACATGTTGTGATTTTTAGGCTTTTTTTGTGCAACACATTGAACTTGAGCTACTGGTACATCAATCCAGTTGAGATTCATTTAGTATTTGGGGCGGCAGTAGCTTAGGAGGTAGAGTGGTCGTTCGATAACCGGAAGGTTGGCGTTTCGATTCCCCCCTATCCCGAGTTTGTCTGTTGTGTCCTTGGGCAAGACACTTAACCCACTTTGCTCCCAGTGTGTGTCCTCCACTGGTGTATGATTAAGTGTTGTGTGGTGTTGGTTGTAGAGCCTGTAGGCACAAACTGGCAGCCATATTTCTGTCAGTCTGCCCCAGGGCAGCTGGGACTACTAAGGTAGTTTACCACCACCAAGGTGTGACTGTGTGAGCGAATGACAATGAATCCGATGTAAAGCGCTTTGAAGGTCTCTGATAAAGCGCTATATGAAATCTGATGCATTTTTATTATTATTATTTATTATTATTTGAGGGAGCTGTTCATCCAAAAACAAAAAAGCATGCTGTGGAAGCCATGGTTTAGCTTTTACGGTGGAGGTAGACCGATTGATCAGCTTGATTTAGTCATTTTGACATAGTTGTCATCATGTGGACATCAGCCCTCACAAGGTCAATATTATCTTTACTTAATAGAAGCACATTTATTTCTCTTTCATCTAAAAATGTTGCTAGCTAAGATAACCACCTCCATTGGATTTTAATGAATGAAATGAATGAATGATAGAATGAATGAAACATGGGTTTCTATTTGACTTTAATTTTTATCTTAATGTCAGGTTACTGAACAGAAATCCAAAAATCCCTTCTGGCAATATTTTCCTGAGCTAAATGAGATCTCTCAATTTCTTTCCTAAAATATTCGCACAACTTTAAATGCTTACAATTTAAATGTGCTTACAATTATTTTATCACACTGCTTTGCTAAACATTGAATGGATGTTAAGGCTGCAGGATATCGGAAAAAACTAACATTGCGATTTTTTTCAACCCTGCGATATATATTGCGATATTAAAAAATACAGGAATTTTCACCAGATGACCTGAATAGCATTTAATGTTATGCTGCACTGCTGAAATCTTGAGGACAGTTAACCTGCTCTGATCTTACCTCTTTTTGTAAATGTTAGTAGAATGGCTTTTGTCTGTCTCAGAGATATTTTTAGCTTTTATTGTGCTGGGACGTTATTGTGGCAACAGATGAACACAGAACACGTGTTTTGGTCGACATCATCCTTCTTTTAACCAAATTAATTCCAGATAACTGACTTTCCTTTTCTTTTTGGCAACAAATCTTCATTTTCTGTGGTTTTCTCTGTTTGTTGCTCAGTTTGCGATCGTTGTTGTTGTTGTTAACGTGTTGTGCTGAGAAACGCATGTCCTCCGAGAATTGCATGCACCTCACAAAATGCGCACCGCTTATAGTAGAGTGGTCCACGGAAATAAACAATTTAAAACCCATACAGTTCTTATTTGTTGGGCTAAACAGTGATGAGTAATGTTCCGAAAGTAATTCTCAGCGGACACGCGTTTCTCAGCTCAACTCCGGTAGCGCCAGCGACTCACTCCATGTGCAGAACATGTGCAGGGGTGGGTTTCCTCCTCTCTGACTTTGATTGACAGCTGGCAGTGTAGTCTGATTGGCAACTGAGAACTGAGTCTGACTGGCAACTGAGTAAAGAGAAAAGGTGATTGGTGGATCGCTGCAAAGCACATGCAGAGTCACATGCAGTGTATCTCAGTCAGCTACCCTTGAAATTAGATGAGTTCATTCACCTCCGACATTGCAGGCTCTGCGATGTGACTATTGCACACACGTACATCACGATGACGATGCTCAAAAGATATATCGTGCAGGCCTAATGGATGTGTAGACTTCCACTACCTGGGTTAAATGTGTGAATACAGCTATGGGTTCCCTGTATGGAGTTTCCCTAAAGACTGTAGTCTGAGTCCGCCATAAGAACCTCATACCATCACACCTAGTCTCTCAGCTGTCAGCTTCACTGCAAAAAAAGAGAAATGTGTCATACTGTGTTTCAGGTTTATATTAAAGACACAGTAAACCACTCTGTGGTGTTAATACAACTTTGGAAACCTTAGGAGACTTATATCTGATATGGATAACACTAACCTAAAAGCTCAGTGAAGTTGCTGTAGCGATAACTTGTGCAGCAGATTTACAAATCTTGCAAAGGTAGCATCAGCCTACTATTAAATAGAGAAGACGAAGTATTTTAAATCATCGAGTAAATACTATAATAAATCTGGTACTTTACATTTACAAAGCTCAGAGGAGTCCATAAAAACATGTCCTTATGTCAACAATATGTTAGAGTAAATAACTATCAAGGTAGGGGAGTTGTTGACAGGTTATTTAAAGAAAGATTCATGCTTATATGACTGCAGTCTCCAGAGCACAGTACATAACCTGCCAATTACATGCCATATTTTCTGATGGCCACTTTATCTTTGTTTTTCTGCACTCAGGCTCCATTATGTTCCTGCCAGACCTCTGCAGTTCCAGTAATACTGCACAGAAGCCTTTCAGAGAAAAGGAGGTAAAGAATTAGGAGGAATGCAACGACTTACTTTATTATACTGCAGAGAAGAAAGGCCATCGTGAAAACACAGTTTGGATTTTTTATTTACTCGATGCACCAGACGCTGTTTCTTTTGATTAAGTATAAATTCAGCTCGGTACCAGTAATTCTTCTAAAGCAGGATCTTTCTTTTGTTCCTCTGGCTATATGATGATGTGGAAATTCAGTTCAGCTATCCATTTTTTCAGGCTGCTCTGACTCAGTAATGGATATCAGATAAATCTTAACACAGTCTTCTCTGTGGTTCTGTGTAGCTTTGGCACTTAGGGGCATCTTTTTGTTGTAGTTGCAAATCTGTCCTGGTTTTGGTCTCGGTTGTGTTGCTCGTCTTATTTTCTTAAAATGAATTCAAAGAAGAAGAGTGAGCTCGTGTTTGTTTCTTCTTGATGGAACAAAAAAAAGATGCCCCCTCTTGTTACTTGATTTTCTTTAAGCAAATATAACTTGTGTTTTTGTATGAGTTGCACTTTCCCTGACATCAGTACAAAAAGATGATTGAGACACTCTCTTTTTTCATATTAGGAACCTGCAGTGTAATTGAAATAGAGTCAAGGAGGGTATGACGCACTGTCTGGAAAATCAAACCTAATTTACTGATAATATAAGTTTCCACTAATTTTTTCAGATGTAGAAAACTCCAATTAAACTCATTCCTTTGAATTTTTAAAGCTGATACTTCAGGGATAATTAGTGTGCGTTAGATGTGACGAAAATGATTAAGAGGTAAATTGGATGTTTTCGAGCCTGTTGCAGACAAACCGACGCACTTACTCATCAATTTTCTTTGAAGAACAAAACATCCCGACAAGTGAAGTATTTCATAAACACACAGATGGCTTTAAAAAGGATTAAATGATGCTTGGACTGTGACTTTGAACTGTGATTACATCCTCTGCTTCGGCGACTCGTGCAGCACTTTCCTATATCTTGTCTTTATCATCATTATCGACAGCAGGGATTTATTTTCATACAAGGAAAACAAGTGAAACTCTGTTCTGTGCAATCGTATATAACACAGGCACAGAAGTAATTTGTAGGGGCGAGAGGGGGGACATGTCCCCCCCACTTCTTCAAAAGCCCGTTTTGGTCCACTGCAGTTTTAACGATCTGTTACTTTACACTGTAGCCAACTGATACACATCAGGTACCAGGACCAAACGGGCGCTCAAGCTGAAAACTGGTTTGCCTTGGTTTGGACCGCCCACAAGGTCCTTGATTGACTCTGCCAAGGGGCCGCTTTTTGTGTGTGATTGACTATCCCTGCTGTTAGTCATTCCGCACCTGCCGGACTAGTGTTTTGCGATATGCTCTTAAAGGTCCTTTCTCACCGGGAGAGTTTTTTTCGTGCGATTACTTCAGACTTTGATTTTTTTTTCGAACCCGTATCCTGTTAATATAAGCGTTCACATCAGCGACGTTTTCCCGTTCTGTGATATTGCAGCTTTTACTTTCGTATCACGGTTGATTTTTCTAAAGTTTCACATACTGTATGTTTATTTCTGACCAATCAGATTGCGTGTTGTTGCAACGTCAGATTCACCGGTAAATCCAACATGGCTGACCAGCTGATTGTAGTTTCGGAGAAAAGAGTGTTTTTTGATAAAAGACACAAACATTACAAAGATAACGACCTGAAGGACAACTTGTGGAGAGTCATAGCGTCGGATTTCTCATATGACGATAGTTTGTGTCCTTTAACAGTTTCATCTGTGCTAAGTAACTTTAGCTCGTAAGCTAACCTGTTCAGATACAACATACCATATGTATTTTCACTGTCTCAAACTCAATCGCATTGCTGTCACAGCACCATTAGGTCTCGGTTGTTACCTTAGGTTTATGGATTATAGTTTAATGTGTTTATCTGGTACTGGCCCCGACTCAGTACATGCTATCATGACAGACATCCATCTCAACACTAGTGTCTAATCAGAACTAAAAAACACTCAGTCTTGCTGTTGTGTCAGTCTTCTTGCTTCCACCCTGGACGTGTCTTTTTTCCCCCCGGAAAGTCACAAAATCACATCGGGCTTGATGTGTGTAGTCTGGCACGTCAAAATTCGCCTCTGAATATTTCGTAGTTTCGCGTCATAGA